TTCAATTCAGTTTATTTATAGAGCACCAAGTCACAACAGAAGTCATCGCAGGGCACTGAACAGAAACGTTCAAATATAAAGTAATAATTTAACACTTTATCGGAGGAGCAGACTGATTTGAATTTAACCTGATTGCAGAATTTTAAGCTTGAGCAAGTATGAAGACGACAGTGGAAAGGAAAAACTCCCTGATGAGGAAGAAGAAGAATGAAGGTGATCATCTGCTTCAACCAGCTGGGTTTGAGAGGAACAGATACACAATGGCAGGTCAAAAATCACATGCTAAGATAGAAATAATATCAAATGAAAACTATTCAATTTTAACAATTCATTTAAGGAAATGAGGTCAATTTGTCCTCTATTAGTATAAACTTGAGACAAAATAACAAGCCAACCCTAACTATAGGATTTATCAAAAAGGAAAGTCTTAAAACTGGACTATGTGTCAGCCTCACGAACAGAAACTGAACGTTGGTTCCACAAGAGAGGAGCCTGATAACTGAAAGATCTGCCTCCCATTCTGTTTTTGTAAATTCTAGGAACCACAAGTAAACCTGCAGCCTGAGAGCAACGTGCTCTGTTAGGAAAATATGGAACAATAAGATCTGTAATATAAGATGGAGCTAGGTTGTTGAGAGCTTTCTAGGTTAGAAGTAAGAATTTAAATTCAATTCTGGATTTGACAGGGAGCCAATGGAGAGAAACTAAAACTGGATAAATATGATCTTTCCCACTAACTCCAGTTAAGACTGGCAGCAGCATTTTGAATTAAATGAAGACGTTTTAAAGACGTATTTGGACACCCAGATAATAAACCATTGCAATAGTCCAGTCTAGACGTGACAAATGCCTGAACCAGTTTTTCTGCATCATTTTTAGACGAGAAGTTTCTAATTTTAGTGATATTACGCAGGTGGAAGAGGGCTATGGGGGGGGGGGGGGGGGGGGGAGGATTTACTCATTGACTAAGTTTGTTTTACGATGTAAAATCTAATTTTATTCAAAAATGAATCCATTGGTGGGCCGAACTGAGTTCACCTGTGGGCCTGATTTGGCCCCCGGGCCGCCAGTTGAATAACCCTGATCTAAGAAGACCCAACACTAATAAAAGAGGAGAAGATGTTCATGAATAGACTCAGCTGCTGATTGGATGACTGTGAAGATTAAAAGTCACTGCAAAGACACAGACATCTACAAGACCCCCCCCCCCCCCAAAAAAAAAAAAAAAAAAAGACAAGGATACAACCTAAAGATGTAAAACAATAAAAAGACCATACTCTAAAAAACAGAATGTAAGATGAGTGTTAAAAAGAAAAGTCAACCCAACCATCAGGAGGCGAGGCAACAATACAGGACGGAACAAGAATGAACGTGGACGATGATAAACTGTTGAACTGATGACAGAACAAAATGAACGGAGTCATTCTGGACAATCGTTTGAGTTTTTCTAACAAACTTCCAGCAAGAAAAGAAGCAACAACTCAGCCCCAACTGCAGAAGAACTAAACGTTAGAGCCCAGGAGAGACGCCAGGTGGTCCGAGGTGTGTTCCTATCCATGACCACTGAGTCGATGTTTAAAGACGCCAATAAAAGGGACGGTTCAGACATTTGAAAGGGAGTTTCTGTGAGAATTCATATGAAGAAATGTCTTACCTGTTGTAGATAGCTTTTTGAAATTGTATAAAGCTGACCAGGCTTTGAGCTAATGAACAAATCCAAGGCGGATTGCTTTAAATCTATGGGGTGCCGTTTGTAAAGTTACACAGTCAAAAATTAACAACAATATTTTGGTTTATTTAGCCTTTAATAAGATGTTTTTTTTCTAAGTTATAATTTCACCATGTTATTCATACATTTATACATGTCATAGTTCCCAGCTAAATAGGCCTGCGATCGAAAAGTTGCAGGTTCAACTCCCGGTACCGTCAACATCAAAATGTGGGTGGGAAAGGTGGAACACTCACACCTCCCTCCACCCTCATTGGCCCCACTCTGGGCCCCTGAGCGTGGCCCTTAACCCCCACCATCTGCTCCCTAAACAGGTCTCTCTTGAAAATGAGTTCTCGTGGCTCAATGAGACTACCTGGATAAATAAAGGGTAAATAAAATAAATTAAAAAATATATATATTTAGTTTACAAACTAAATACTTGCAAGTTAAATATTTAATTAGGAAACTAAATATTTTGTTTTAATTTACATATTTATTTTCAAAACTAAATATTGAATTACCAAACTAAATATTTAATTTCTAATCTAAACATTTAATACCTAAACTAAATATTTAATTTGCTAACTAAATATTTACCTCAGACCTAAATATTTAACTTGCTAGCTAAATGTTTAACTTTAGGGGTGCGCAGATTGCAAACAAAATCCTAGAAACAATACAAACTTGTTTTAACTGGCCATGAGGTGGTGCTCTGAAATATAAATGAAGTTCAGACAATTGTTGTTAAAACTACAAAAATCAGTAAAATCAGTTTCTATTGCAAGTATCGGAAAATTTTCGATTTCCCCCAAAATAAGGAATCGGGGCCGATAAATCAGACGTCCGATTTATCGGTACACCCCATTTAACTTGTTAACTAAATATTTAACTTGCAAGTTAAATATTGAGGTCTGAGCTAAATATTTAGTTAATTTGCAAATTCCTTGCCAAAAACGGAAGTGGACTATCAAACTAAAAGCCAAACCCATGTGACGTAACATTCGGGGTGGATCTGGTGTTACCTGCGGACGGCTTAGTGAGTTTTGTCGATGGCCGTTAGAGGATGTTCCAACTGGACAGATGGTTCATCAAAGTGCAGTTTTCACTTAATCCCCAAAATCAGGAAATGTGAAGGACCACAAACAATCTGAGAACATCGTCCAGTGTGGGTGGAGGAGTGATTGTTTAGGTGGAGGAGTGATGGTTTGAGTGAGGAGTGATTGTTTAGGCTTGTTTTGCAGCCACAGGGGTCACTTAGGTCGTTTTCACACTACATAGTCCGGTAGACTCGGTTCGGGACCAATATTCATGAGCTTTTGTTTACATTTGAGCTGGTGAGTTTACATTCACACTGCACTCGAACCGCGCTGGAGTTCGCTTAAAGTGGACTAAACACCAGCCCTGTTTAGTCCACTTTAATCAAACTCTAGCTCGTTTTCCTAGAAAGTCCGGCTCGTTTGGGGAGGTGTGAACGCACCATCGAACTCTGTCACGGAACAAAAAGGCGAACTCTGGCCCAGTCTAAAACCTAGGTCTGGGTCCGGTAGAAGAGAACTCCAGCGCGGTTCGAGTACAGTGTGAATGTAAACAGACCGAGCCCCGCTCCGCAGGACAAACAAACACGCATTTCTCTGACCTCATATGGAGCCGTCAGCTGCCTTGTGTGAAAAACAATATTCTCCATGGTCTTCTGTCTCATCTTCTGCTCATGATGAGTCCATTTTTGAAAAATGACAAAATATAACTCCTAAAACTGCTAAAACTTGATGCCACTCCATTTTTATTTTTATTTACAGAAGAAGACGTGTCTTCAGAGGTTTTTGTGTTTCTTTCAGTAGTTCTTGGTGCAGCGCCCCCACAGGCGAGAGGGGGAACAGGTTGATTCAACAGGTTGACTCGACTGCACAGTGCAGTGTGAATGCAAACGCACCAGCTCAAATGTAAACAAAAGGTCATGAATATTGGTCCCAAACCGAACCGAGTCTACCGGACTATATATATATATACAGGTCCTTCTCAAAAAATTAGCATATTGTGATAAAGGTCATTATTTTCCATAACGTAATGATAAAAATGAAACTTTCATATATTTCAGATTCATTGCACACCAACTGAAATATTTCAGGTCTTTAATTGTTTTAATACTGATGATTATGGCATACAGCTCATGAAAACACAAAATGCCTGTCCCAAAAAATTAGCATATTTCATCCCACCAATGAAAGACTAGTGTTTTTAATACAAAAAACGCCAACCTTCAAATAATCATGTTCAGTTATGCACTCAATAGTTGGCCGGGAATCCTTTTGCATGAATGACTGCTTCAATGTGGCGTGGCATGGAGGCAATCAGCCTGTGGCACTGCTGAGGTGTTATGGAGGCCCAGGATGCTTCGATAGCGGCCTTAAGCTCATCCAGAGTGTTGGGTCTTGCGTCTCTCAACTTTCTCTTCACAATATCCCACAGGTTCTCTATGGGGTTCAGGTCAGGAGAGTT